GTTTCGCCAAATTATTCCTGTTAGTCAAAAGCGTGCCGCCTCTCTTTGCGTCAACGCGCAAAAAGAAAAAACAAACTCAATTGTGCTTATTTGTATAAAAATAATTTATTAAGCCAGAGAAGAAAACGAAAAAGGAAACTTAAAATTACGGCAAAGAAGCAAACCTCAACAAAGTTATTGAAATCGACAGCAAGTTAGACAATAAAAAAATATTATTATAAGCAAAAGTGGAATTTAATGCAAAAAGACATTAAAAATTTTGGAAACGAGTTTATAAATAAATTTATATAAAATATAAATAGCTTTTTAGAGTTTCATGTCCAGAATGCACTTGTGCTAAAACTTAATGAAACGGGTTTTTAAATGCTTTACAAAGGAGCGGTGACTCCGTTATTATGCGCTTGACCGATTCCATAAAATCACAATGTCAATTACAGCAAGCGCATACACACATACAGATAAACATAAATATATTTTTATGTGCCGTTAACTGATATCCATTAACCTTTGCATATATTTTTGTAGACAATCGCTTTAAACTGCTAATAAACTCGTCCTAAGTGACAATAAACGAACATTTGTGCATTTTGTTTTAAGTGCTTCTGATTGTTTTATTTCTTCGCTTCAAAAAGCTGCAGCGAAAAAGTTGTTGTTACAGAATTTATTGACGAGGGAAAGTCTGATCAGTGTTATATGTTTTCAATTTTATAGAAATATAATATTTAAAGAGGTAGCACCTTTAACAGAAAAATAAATTTCAACTCTAAACACAATTTCATTTGCTACTTTGATAGCTTCAATGCTAAATATAAATATTTTAATTCATCATATTGAATAATAAATTTTAAATAGGTGTTAAGCTTCATCAAAATATATTTTCAGCTATAAGAGTGCTTTAGACGTTTGAAATTAATTTTTTTATATCTGAGTTTAATTAATTTAAATCTGAGTTTTTAAACAAAAAAGAATCCATTCCAAAATTTAGTTTCCTCAAAATTCCTCACATTTTCCCAATTGTCGATACAACTATATATTGATACTGATCATGAAAATCTATATAACATTTTATGCTGATTAATGCTGCTACAACAAACAGCCGGCTTTAATAGTCCAACAATTCACGGTCGCTGTGATGAGTCGGCAAACTGCGGAGAGGTGAATAACATGGTGTAAAGAGATAGTTAAAACAGAAACAAATAAAAAATGTTAAAACTAAAACTGTAAGCGGAAAATAACATAGAGATACTACATATGAACATGCATATGGTAAACATACACACATCTGTACAGCATAACTACACCTTTTTGCATAAATCGTCTGCAGCAAACGGCACTGACAGTGATGATGGCCAAAGCGCATTTACTCCACAATTTGGATGCTACTCTTGTATTGCACACACACACACATATAAATATGTCTGTATATAATCCCACACGTGTTTTTGTGTCGCTTCGTATGCGCCGCTTGTTACGGCTCGCCTGATTAAAATAATGGTTTTAGTTGCGCCGACTTGAATTGAGTGCAACGACAGCAACCTACATGCTAATGGTGATTTATAGCGCAGCGCTCACACACATACACGTATATAAATATCTACACTCGTTTATGCACTTGCTGGCTGCGCTTTGTGGGCATCTCTACTGCAAGCGACTGCACTTTTGTTCGCAGGCATCCGCTGTGGCAATTAGTGAACCATGTCAGTGGCTGTTTTGGTTAAAAATGTCAAGTTCGAGTTTCCACTAACAGAAAATAAGTAAATATATACAAATCATATGGCAACATTGAATGGATATGGAAAAAAAGAAACAAAATGTCAAAATACACTCCCACATAGGAAGTTCGAGGCAACCGAGCGCTGATTTGTGCGGTCACAGTAAACTTTTCGTGTGGGCTTACGCAGATGAAATTAGTATTTCCACAGAAATTGACAAAGTACGCACAATCAGATGTAGTTGATTTAGATTTAGTGATTTACTAATTAAAATTTCAAGGGTATCTGGATTACACTGCCAATAAAAATTTGAATAAAACCAATTATGTTGTTTTGGAGATATTTTGAACACTTTAGCGATACATTACTTGGAATCCGACATAATTGCATTTAGCTTATGTTGAAAGCTGTCAAATATTCAAAATTTCAGTTAACCGCCATTCAGCAGAAAAATAATGACAGCATGCTTGTTAAGAAGTATACTTCTAGGATGAGTATAACGATAATTCTCGTTTGAAAGAGAGAGACAGAGAGAGAGAGAGAGTGAATGAGATACTTACTTCCATACTTAAAATTCCTTAGAGTTCACATATATTTTTTCATATTTGTTGATTAAGAGGTAAACTAGTCGAATGCAATTGCTACTCCTCCTCCACATTTCATTCAAATAAAATTTATATATGAGTATGCATTTACAAGTACTTATACCCACGAATATATTACATATATTAAGTAGCATTTATAATTTTCCCAGATATTAAGGTGAACCTCTTCTCCGTTTTATTTTGTACGATTTGGAGTAATTTTTCAAGGAAAATATCAATATCAATGCTTATATGCCAGATATAGTCTTAATGGTCTAAACTTTTTTATGTGAGAAATGCCAGAAATAAACAAAAACAATTTCAAAGTCATTGAAAATCATTTCTAAAATGAAAATTCTATATAAACCAATCCGTTTAAAAACATTAGGCTCAAAATATAGTGAAATAGCGGAAATAAAAATTTGTTTCTTTTTGTTTGGAGCTAAAGTGAAATTAATCCCTTTACCTCACTTACATTCATATCATCAGTAAGTTCTGAAAATTAATAAAAGGAAATCTTATAAGGTAACTTTCACAAGAATGTGATCTCGCTTCCCAACAAAGTTTCTAGAATTCACCTGTTGACCGCCCATTGTAGTCTAAAGAATTTCTGATGCTGTCTGTTTCCGATGGGCAAAACTGATATATATTTTTCTAAACTGTTGAAGAGAGTGGGCGTTGCCTTTATGCAAATTTTAAAACAATTCTGGAAAAATATGAACTAACGCCTAAAGCTTTTCTTCAAAGTTTAGTGCATCGCAAAAAATCAAGATTAGGATTGCTGTTAAACATAAAATAAAATTTATTTGTTTAACCAAAAGATTTTTTGTTCCAAAAATATGATTTGTTAGGTTTGGTTAAATATAAAACGTTCTCACTTGCGCATTTTTTTATCCACGGTTATACTATATAGCATATAATATGTGAGAATTTTTCAACTAATTAGAATTCAGTCTCCGCATATAAGCATTACACGAATTTATACTTCTGTCGATCGACATTGAAGATATTCCACTTTAGCACTTGAAGGAAATTCTTTTACGAAAATCACTATAATTTTGCCAGTTTACAGCACTTATATAAAACTTAGCATATATCTAGGTATATATACAGACTGTAGTTAACATAAAAGCACAATAACAATGCAATGCGACCCAATTGCTGTTACTCACCTTTTGAGCGAAGGAAATCCGTGTAGTTGATTTAAAATTGTAATGCCATACAATCAGCAAAACTGCGGCGATGCGATGCAACAGGATGTGTGCGAGATAATCTTGTGCGAGCGGCCAAATATGGTGCGAAATGCGTGTACGCTGACAGCGACAGCAACAAGAACAACACAACAACCACTATACCGAATAGTATATTTATTTCTAGTTTTTATTGCTGTTGTTTTTGTTGCACTGTGGTCTACTGATGCACTGCTGATGACGCTGAAATGCCTCAAGAACGAATTATTGGCTATTTCTTCGTGCAATTTTATTTTTTTGGCGCTGCAATCAGCGGAAAAGGCCAAGTAATCGCGCTTACACACATACATATAACATTTTTATATACGCAATCACTCCTAATATGTGTGCAAACGTGTTGTCATTTTGTATGTTTGTCGGTAATTTACTTCTGATATGGCAACGCGTTGTGCTCGGCGCTTGCTGCGCGCAGTAGGTGGAAATGAAAAGTGATAATTGAAAAATTACACACAACTTCGATGTGCAATAGTAGATTTCATTTTTAGATTATGCGCTTGCGTTTAACTTGCCTTCTCCGGTGCCTTTGTAATTTGTTGTTATTTTTTATTAGCAGACGTGTGCTTGTTTTAGCGGATATGATGTTGAGTATTACCTATTTTGTTTTGGAATTTACATCTTCCAATATATTGTTGTTTTTCATCTAAAATTAGAAAAAGAGATATATATTTTTCAATCAATCCATTCGAAATTTTTTGTCAATAAAATATTCTTGATGTGAGATATATAAAGAAAGGTTCTGCGGATTTTCGTCATTTGATAAGTCTATGTATAACATATAAAATATTTTTAACATTGAATTGACTTTCTCATCCGTAATTTTTTATGATACAAATTTTTGGATAAAATTTTTATACCATATTGAAAATAATATAGTATCGACTGTTTGTTATAGATATTATTCCATTACATATATGCAATATAAGAGCATCTAGTTAGAGCAGCTAGTCATAATTTTTTGCCATTCAAAACGATATTTATATGAAAATTTATTTTGAAAAGTTTAGGGAGAAATTAATATTCCTTTTTGTCAAGACATTGTCAGAATTAAGAATGTAAAAAGACTGAAGAATATTAACGAATAACACAAGTTTTTTTTTCGATTCTTTTAAAAGTAATATACTACAATTTTTAGTCGATATCGCAAATAGTTTATCTTTAACCGCGTTTTTCTCGAAACAATATTTTTCGAATTCGCCTGAATGATTACTCGGAGTGGTTACTTTTGGTCTTTTCGGAGATCGCGTGTAACTCAAAAAATATTTAAATTATGTCTTCAAAAATTTCACTGTGCATGCCTAAAGTATGTATCAATATATCCATGGAATTTGAAAACAAAAAAAAAGAAAAGTACACATAAGGAGATATATCAGAATATCATTTCTATTTAAAAATTTTCTAATTTATGATTTCCTATGCCTAATTTTTTCTCAAAGAATCTATCAGTGGCTTAATTTTTAATTTTAAGAGAAAACATATCAAATTTTGTAAGAAGAAAAGTATCAAAAAAATGTTTTTTGTAATATATATATATGTACATGTATTTCAAACACAATTAATATAGTTTTTATAGGATACTTCAAAGCACTAAAAATTACTAATGTAAAAATTGAGATGATTAATATTTTTCATTATTAATTATAGGTGTATTCACATCATTCCTTTCACTAATTTGTATTGCTATCCAAAACACTATGCTAATGACTACACTTATGTTAAGCATATGCTTTATATGTATTTTTATTCCTACCTCTTACATGTACCGTAATATGAGGCTTTCTGATTTATTAATCATTTCTATAAAGTTATAATTATTATTTGTTTTCGTTTTTTCGTTTCTTTAGCTGTATCAGCCCACACAAAATCGTTCGCACTAATGCAGATTTGTGGTAAAGCGAAGAGCGTGGAATTTCAAGCTTATACCGCTGTAGAAACAAAGTTGTGAAAGCAACAAAGTGCAACGAAAAGCACATTAATTTTCACTTATGTGTACATACAAGCATTTACTTTTATATATAGCCAAGCATAAGCCCTTTCAATATATGAACACATGCATTTTTTATGTTTAACTCCCTTTTGTATCTTTTTAAATATGTGTCCTCCTACTTTTCGTTTGTATTGTTGTTTTTATTGTTTATGCGCTTAGATAAATGTAATTCAATCGTTGTTATTGTACTGTAAATGCAGATTAATGCTATTTAGTGAGCCCGTGCATTAAGACAACCAAAAACCGTTGCATTGAAAGCGAAATGCATGACAAATGAGAAGCTAAATTGCTCCGTCGGCTCATATATCACTGAGCTTTTCGAAACTCAAGTTATTCATAAAATGTTTTTTTTTTATGATACAATATTTTGTCGTTGCTATTATGTGGGTGTGATATAAAGTTTTTTGATTTGATATACATATAATAGTTTTATTTGACAAGAGGCAGGAAAAAGTAAGAAAAAATTATTTTCTAATATTCTTTCGAAATACTCCACGTATTTATTACCTAGATCGTATTCTGTCTAGCGGTATTTTGAAGAGGGTAATTAAGATTTCTATTAAAATATGTGAAACGTATTTATGAGTCATTCCATCCAAAATTTACATAAAAAAATTTGTTGCGTGCAAGACATGCTTTTTGTGCTCCTTGAATTAAAATATTGGGGACGTATTTTTTTACTTCGATACAATATGAAAAATTTTGGAGCAATGAATTAAAATTTTAACGCTCCAACAACACCCTTTTAAAGAAAAGTATTTTCTTATTAAAGTAACTAACCGGCCTACGTTTACAATTTTTTCTCAGCTTTCCAATGAGAAATACATTGAACTTAATTTACCCTTTTTTTTATAAACAAAAGGAAAAATGTACCATAACAAATAATTGTTTTTTTGTTTTTTTAATTTAGAACTACTTATTTTGTTTTTTTATTGAAAAAGTTAATTATTGAAAAAAATTGGAAATGAAAGGTAATTTCTTAGATCTAGAAAGTAAATTATTATACAAAGTGGAAATGCAGTTAGTTATCGGGAGCTGCAATTATGTATGACTTTTTACCGTCATAATAATATAATTATATCGTTTTAATTATAGTGAGTTGAGTTTCGAAATAAAAAAAAGCTTAAAAAAATATAAATATATATATAATTTTTTGGTATAGCTGCTAAGATTTTTTGAAAACATATCATTGTTTAAAAATTTAGATAAATGAAAAAGAAAACTTTAAATTAACCGAGCAAAAATACTAAATTATTAGTAAAAAAAATATATATATATTTAATAATGTTTGAAATAATTTTTTTTTTTTAATTTTAAAGTAGTATTTAAAAATGTGTACAATATGTATATAAATATTTTTTTAAACTTTTTTAGCAAATCTACATTTTAAGTTTATTTTTAAATCACCCTGAGTTGTATAATTTAAATAGTATATAAGATGCAATTTCAAATAAATTTAAAAAAAAATATGTATACAAGAATTATATATATTTATATAAAATTAAATTAATTAAATTAATTTTATTAATTTATGTATTCGTTATTTGTTTATTAATTTATTTATTAGTTTAAATAATTAAAATGTCTACAGGACTTAGTTCGAAATATTATTATTCTGTTTGCCTAAGAAAGAGCTCTAAAAATAAGTCAAACTATCTGCAATTTTCAATGGCGCAAGTTCAACTGATTAATTTGTCAAGTTTTTGACTAAACTTTGTACAGCATAATAAAACAAATAAAAGCCCACATTGGCCGACATTCATTCAACAGTCATCGGCAGTAATCATTTGTAGCCTGCAAAACACGAAATTTAAACACTAAAACAAAAACTGTCATTTAAGTACATTATTTGCTTGGCTTGGTGACACGAAAGCCACACCAAAATTAAATTAATTTACATTTAACGCATACACACACACATATTGGCGAACAGGTATTGCGCATGCGCATCAACACGTAATTTGCATGCAGTGGAGTGTTGGATAATTTCGTTTTCTTATTACTTCGCTTTTATTGTTGCTATTTTTTGTTATTCGCCGTTTTTCGTTTGCCTTATCGCTTTTTGATGCTCCGACGTGACAGCCGAACATTTCTCAAATGGGACACGCTTTTATTAGCATAAATATCGGTGTGTGTATATATGACAACAGCAGTTTTTCGCCGGCACTGACGGACGCATATCTATGCGTGGCATCAATAATGTCAGCGTGTACCACACTCCCCCTACAAGTATGCTACTGTTGGCGGTTGCACCGTGTACGAATGATCGAAATCAGAACTGGACCTACCCAAGTGTTCTGCATCGCCAACAACAACATAAATGTGTCTATAAGTGCGCACAGTCGCGTGTTCATCTTGATAAACAATGCCGTTATCCACAAGTGAGTGAGCCAACCCATTTCATGCTTTATAAGGATCTGAGTTCGCAAAAGTGATAAATGCCTGGCCGGCCAAATACTACTGCATCCACTATTATTGTTGTTGTTTTTTGTGTAGCTGCTTGCAACAGCACCTTTGTTGACACATTTGCTTGCCACACCATTTTTGGCCATGACTTACAAGTGACAATGGAATTGTATGCAAAGCAGCTGTCAATAAATTAAATTGAAATTATTTCAGTTATAAATATAAAAGGAGACTTTGCGCTGAAATATATACTGAGCAACGTTTGCTATAGCCACGTGTGAACTCAGCCTAATGCTTATGTGAGCAAGATAAGTTTATACTGGTTTTGCACAGCGATACAAAGTCTGTCATTGAAGAGAGCTTAATATCTTTGCTAGTTGAGTTCTTGACTCCGGTAAATACTAGAATTATTTGTTAGCTTCTTAGACTAGAAGTGATTGTTTTAAGCCTGTCCGTCTCATAAATTTATGGAACTGATGATATTTTTTCTTTATGTATTTGTTTCTTTTGAATTTAGTTTAACACTAATACCACTGCAACATAATTATCTAGTTCATCAAGTGGTCGGATAAATTTCTATGACATGTGGTTAATAATCATATTAAAATAAATAAATAAATGTCACGTTCTCGATTTCCATAATATTCATTGAAATTATTTTTAAAAAAGCTAAATTTATATGTGATTGTAAAAAATGGTATTAGCATCAGAACATCGTCGAATCGTTAATGATTTCTTAAGTGATCAGTTGATCATCAGCTAATTGATCAGCTTAGATTTCTTTGAATGAACCATCGATCATTAGCCGAAGTGGCTTTTAGATTTCTGCACTAAAGATTTACGAATATTATGATGTTATCTCATAAAATTTTATTTTATTCTTGCCATTGCTTGCTATTTGCACTCAGCGCTCAACCTAATCTAAGTTGTCAAACTCAACTTGTACACAAACAAATTAAACACCATAGTTTTAATGGGCACAATTTTGGAACTATATTTAGTTTTTAATATTTCGCCACTAATTTTTACAAAATTTTATTCACTTCACTGTCGCCTTTACTGTCGCATAATTTTCAGCATGTTAAGTCATTAGCATTTTAATGTGTCTCATGTAATGGTAACCGATCAAACATTTAAAATATATTAAAAATTGACAATAGAGGCAAGCAAAGATAAGCAGACATGAGTTTTAAAATAATAATATATAGATCTAATATTTAATTATCGACAGGTGGAACACTTTGAAGAGG